TAAGTATAAAGGTCAAAACAATGAAACTTCTAGAAGAAAACCTGAAAAAAGTAGTTTTTTCTAGAGGACAAATAAAATATCACCAGAAAAAACAACCCAAATTAAAATGGGCAAAAGTTAGATACTTTACAAAGATGTATGAATGACCACCAAGTACATATAAAGTGTTCATTATCATTAGTCATCAGTTAAGGAAAATTAAAATCACAATGGGATATCATTTTATATCAATCTTCAATTCTAAATTAAAAATGTATAAAATAACAATAAAATAAATTTAAAAATTTTTAAAAATTAAAAAGATCTCTAGTCAAATATTGGCAAAGAAGTGGGGGAAACGGGACTAACATACATAGCTACAGGTAATGTAACATGCTACCATAAGTTTGGAAAGCTGGCAGTTTCTTACAAACTTAAGCATCCATTTACCCTGTGATATAGTAATTTCACTCACAAATATATAACAAAGAGAAATTAATGCATATATCCACAAATATACTTAATAGGAGTATTTACACTAGACTTTTCATAAAAACCCAAATCTCAAGTACCCATGGTTAGAAGAATAGTTAAAGAATTGTGGTATATTCATGCAATGGGATATCATGCAGCAATATAAACACAACATGGATGAATTTTAAAATCACTATGCTGAGTAAAAGAAACCAAATTGAGAGTAGGTATTGTGTGATTCCATTTACATGAAATTCAGAAACAAGGAAAATACATCTAAGCATAGAACCAGAGTGGCTTATGCTGGGAGTGTGAGGATATTATTTGAGGGTTATGGTATGAGGAAAATTTCCTTATGAAGGGAGTGGCCTAGGATGTGGGGAGTATGAAGCATTAGGGAACTTTGTTCCGTGTTGAAAATGTTTTATATCTTGATGTAGGTATTAGGAACAATTAAACACATTTTTTCAAAACTTACCAATTTGTACCATTTAGATCCATGTACATAAATCTACCTTAATTCTTGTACAAAAGAAGTCATAGAAAAAGAGTGCATGGGTAAAGTTTATGAAAGAAGGAACGTGTTATTTTATATTAGATTTTACGCTCAGTGAGGTTTTCATGAACATTGTCCAAGCAGTGCTGGAATCTCAGTTCAGGAAATACTGCATTTGAGACACTCTTTATAATAACACTTTGCATTATAATAACTGTTATGTGTTTGCCATATGTAAAGACAAGGCATATATATCAGTTTTCTAAGATGAAACATTAATTTCAAATCTTATAGTTATCAATCATATGACTTTGGGCAAATTACATAGTTTATCTGAGCTTAGTGTCCTCTGAATACAGTAATAATAATATCTATCTCACAGGTTAAATGATATGGTTTTAACTCAGTGCCTACTACATATTTTTGTTTGAACAATAAATTCAAAGAAAAAATCCCATGTGATGATAGTAATGTCATTTACAGTTTTTGAATAGTTCCAATTTTACTTGGAGAAATCTGATGTCAAAGTATTTTCCACTGATACTTTAATCATTGTCTCTGTGTCAAGGGAGTAAGTACATTTACATCCTGTAGGTCTCCTTGAAACTGTACAGATAATTTATGTTGTTTTGTTCATTTCCTTGAATCATCCCTCTAATTTTCTCACTAGGGAATATGTAGAGTGTTCTGCATAATTAGTAGGCAACAAAAGGCAATTTTTAAATATCTCAGATGGTTTTGGCATAATCATCTGAGTGAATTACATGCTACTTCCTCAGTGAGCATTACAAAGAGAGAAGAAGCATAAATTCTCCCTATCCAAAGAAAAAATAAGAGTAGTTTGGGAGAAGAAAATTCAACTCTTCATTAAAGGTGAGTAAATAGGAATTGCTGTTGATTTAGATCACCACCTGCAGGTGTGGGTAATTTCCTGCGATTCCTAGCTTCTGACCCTGGACACTCTTATGGTCACCGACAGCTGATTCTTTACATCACAAAAATTTCTTATCTCCTTTGTTAACTGGGTTTCCTGGAATAGTATGGTATTTTTAGGGCATTAAATCCTGTGAATTGACTAGATGTCATAGATCCATTTGATTTGTGAGAGTTAATAGTGGCACTTGGATATTGCAAGTGAAGAGAAAGTTAGAAATATCTGAAAAAAATCATCATCAATTTCACCTATTAGAAGCTATTAAGATTAAGATTTGCAGATAAAACACAGAATGCCCAGCTACATATGAATTTTAGGTAAATAACAAATCATTTTTAGTATATGTCCTATGTAATATTTGATAAGTATTCTTTTATATGAATATACCCAATGAAATATTTGAAAAATAACATTTTAAGATATGTATTACCCATGTAATATTTTATAAACTGCAAATAATTTTTATATAAGGATATATATATATCCCTATATATAAGGATAATCTCCCATGCCTGAACTTACAGATTTTTCAGTTGTTTGCTTGTTCTCCCTACTGGTTGCTGACTACTCAGTTTGTTTTTTACAGAATGGACTTTACAGACTGATTGAATAGACTGACAAATAAATAGAATGATTTGTAAGAGTTATGGCGAAAGCCCTCATCCTCAAATAATTCCTAACTGTTTTAAGATTGAAAAGTCAGTCATCCTTTTGCATCGTTGTTATATCTTGTCTGCTCTAATTGTTAGCTCAAATGGAACTATTTAAAATGTATATATCAAGATGTTCAAAACTGATCAGATGTATCCTTTTCTAAATGAGAAGAAAGGGCAGGGTACTACCGTAGTTTTAAGATCCTGATAAAAATTCTTTTCAATAAATACCCCAAAGTGGGATTGCTAGATCTTATAGGGAGTTACTGAATTAACAAGCATAAAGTTTCAGTTAGGCAAGATAAATAAGATCTAGACATCTGCTCTACAACATTGTGCCTCTAGTTAACAATACTGTATTGTACACTTAAAAATCTTTTAGCAGGGTGGATCTCATGTTAACCATTCTTACCACAATAAGATAAAAATTGAAATTACAAAAAGAAGAGTGAGCAGGGTAAAAGAATCCAGATATATTTAGAGGGAGGAGGAAAATTGAGATAAAAATCAATAAACACTAGAATAATTCTTAGCAAAGAATTAAAGGCTTCAAAGTGATGAGATTGGTACTGGAATTCTGAAATCCTTTGCCTAACCCAGTGTATCTTGAATTCTTTAGGAAAATCCATGATAGCAGGCCATGAAACACTTGGTTCTTATTTATGAAAGAGGAAAGGACATGAAAGCAGAGTGAGACTCAATGGAGAAACAGCAGACAGCTTCAACTAGAAAAAGGGATAGAAGTGGCTCAGCAATCTCCAGTAGTACCTTCCTCCCCCAGCCCCCTTTTTGGTTCAGACTGATTAAATCAACACCAAACATTAGCAGATTCCTAGAATTCTGCCAAATGTCACAGGGTGGAACCAGATTGACCTGCTCCAAACATTGGGTTTGGGTCTTGTGGTAGACTTCCATAAGGTTCTACTTGACAGCAGTGCAGGCTAAGGCTGAGCATTACATTATATTATAATAATTTCATCTTGTGTTTTAACTGACAGCATTTTGAACTCTAATCATTCCTTCAACTGAAAATTGTGCTCATAGAGGCCCAGATTTTTGTTGAGGAGAAACTGAATGTGAGAGAAAGAAAATACGAGTGGATTAAGCTAAAGCAGCTTCACTATCTTCAATCAGAGAAGTTCCACTTTGTTTTACTGACTTCCCATGTAAATTCTATGAAATGAAGAGGGCAGGACTCATCACTGAAATATTTTAAAATCAGTGCTATACTTTATGCATACTTCATTGTACAATTTAAGAAATAAATTGGCAGTAATATGAGCTGTAATAAATGCTCAAATAGATATTTTAAATGCCTTATGTACCAATAATATCCACAGTGAAGGAATTAACCTATGCATATAAATCAGGATTTAAAGGAAATAAGGAACATAAAATTAAATATTCAAAATCCCTGAATATTGATATAAATCATATATTTTAGCAGGAATGGATCCAGATCTTATGCGTCTTGAAGCTAACACTAATTTGAAGGTTTTATTTTCAAGAAAAAGAAATATAATTGTACGTGTAAGTTGAGACATAAATGTGAATATTTATTTAGAATGGCAAAATAATTATAAAAGTTCAGTTTTAAAAACATAGTGACAGATATCATAAAATCTATAAGTATAACATTTTTATTAATGAAATTGCAGACATATCTCAGCATATTTGGTGGCAGGATTGGTCTTGGAAGTCATTCCTACACCAAAATATAGCATTATTCAATGATAAATGTAATTGATTTTTAAACATATAAACATACCATTTAAGTATAAAACAAAGTATTATTAATTCAGTCTTCCCTTTGCTGGACCTTACAAATGTTTGCAGACATGCCAGAGCATCCTGATATTAGTTGAAGCGTGATGGAGCAAAAATTGAAACGAAAAGAGAAAGTGGGCTTAATGGATCAAGGTTAAAATATTTTACATTTGCAACTTTTACAAAGATATATCTCCTTGGTGAGTTTGTTGCTAAGGCCTCACCCAGGTCCTTGAAAGTACAGTTGAAGGAATCTATATCTTAAATTTCATTAGCTTTCTATTATCTTTACCTCTCTCTTTACGAGTATCAAAATTCCACAAGAATTTCAGACAAGAATGGAAATGTGCTAAATTAAACTTTTGATGCAATTGCATAGAGAAAATAAAGTCTAATACTTCTATATTAATTCCTACATGGCATTTTAGATCAATGCATATGTTCCGAACATTGCTGAGTCTGCTTGGCGTTTAATCTGTCATAACGGTGCATGCGTTTCATATGGATCCCTCCTCTTGGGAAGTAGAAGCTTCCATCATTTGTTTTAGTTTTAAAATTAGACATGAGAATTATTTTTATACTCCTTATTATGAAGAAAAACCTCCATTCTGTCTAGAAACATAATTTGTTTACATGGCCCTACATGAAAGCTAATAACAACCTCTCTGTTTCTTCCCACAAGAGCTAACTGGGCTAAATGAGCCAACAGAATCTAACATTGCTGACGGAATTCATTCTGATGGGAGTCACAAGGCAGCCTGAGCTTCAGGTTCCCCTGTTTGGAATCTTCCTCATCATCTACACAGTCACAGTGGTGGGCAATCTGGGCATGATCATCGTGACCCAGGTAGATTCCCATCTACACACACCTATGTATTTTTTTATCAAACACCTGGCTTTCATTGATCTTGGTAACGCTACTGTCATTTGTCCCAAGATGCTGGTAAATTTTGTTGTGGATAAAAATACCATTTCCTATTATGCATGTGCCACACAGTTGGCTTTCTTCCTTATGTTCATAATCAGTGAATTTTTCATCTTGTCAGCCATGGCCTATGACCGTTATTTGGCCATCTGTAACCCTTTGCTCTACAATGTTATCATGTCCCGGAGACTTTGTCATGTGCTGGTAGGCATTCCATACGTCTATAGTACCTTTCAGGCTCTAATGTTTACTACTAAGATTTTTACATTGACCTTCTGTGGCTCTAACATCATCAGTCATTTCTACTGTGATGATCTTCCCTTGTTACTTATGCTTTGCTCAAATGCAAGAGAAATAGAATTGTTGATCATAATATTTTCAGCACTGAATTTGATCTCTTCCCTCATGGTAGTCCTAGTGTCCTACATACTCATTCTGATAGCCATATTTCAAATGCATTCCACAGAGGGGAGGAAAAAAGCTTTCTCCACATGTGGTTCTCATTTGATGGTGGTGGTTGTATTCTACGGGTCTCTACTATTTATGTACATGCAGCCCAAATCCACTCATTCTTTTGATACTGATAAAATGGCCTCTGTGTTTTACACTTTAGTGATCCCCATGCTTAACCCCTTGATCTACAGCTTAAGGAACAAAGAGGTAAAAAATGCATTTCACAGAGTTTTTAAGAATCAGTGCAAACTTTGTAGCTAATATTTAATGCAGAATGTTGTTTTAATAAACTATGAAAAAGGCAAGTGTCACTTGATAATTTTTCTCATAGATATAATTACATTTTTTTGGCTCCAGAGCAAAAACTAATTATAATGCACAAGTAGATTGTTTCCCATATATTCAGCCAAATTAATTCTATTTTAGACCTCAATTAATTGTCACTCCTTCCTCAATATTCCCTTGTTTTTGATTCAATGTTCCCTTTAGTGATCCAGTAGAACCTCATATTTCTCCTAGTGGAAACTCTTATCAAACTCGACATCAATAATTTATGTGTTTGCTTCTGTCAGTTTTTTTTTAAAGCATGTATCTTCTGAATCTTGTTTTCATTGTATTTTCTGAACCTAAAACAACAATGTAAACAAAATGAGTCTCTTGCAAACAGCATATAGTTGGACCATGATTTTTTAAAATCCATTTTGCCTGTATCTGCCGTTGTAGAATTTAATCCATCTGCATTTGAAGTATTTACATTACAAAATCTTCTCGAGTTTGTGGCCAAACACTAGCTTGGGCACATCTACTCATGAATTTTGTTTAATTTTTCCCCTTTTTAATGTAGTGATGTTTACATTATTAAAAAAAGTTGATCTAAAGTGTTCTCATCCCAAAAATAAAAAAAAAAACTATGTGATGTGATGGATATGTTAATTAACTTGATTTTGGTAGTCTTTTCCCAATACATAAATATATCAAAGCATCATATTGTACACCTTAAATATACACACTTTTTGTTTATCACTTGTAACTTCAACAAAGCTGGACAAAAATTTTTAAATTAAAAAATAAAATAAAACATAAATTGAACACAATAGAAGAAACACAAAATTACATTTTATAATCATATTAATTTGTTTACCATTTAGTATAATTTTTAACAAATTCTATCATTTCTATTACTATTTACAAACCAAAAGTTAAGTTAAATAATATTAACAGCATTTCCCAATATCATCCATATGGAAAGGGCTTTAAAAAAAACATAATACATCATACTCCTGGCAACTTACTTTTCTTACATGAGAATTCACCATCAACATCTTTCTTAGCCAATAAACATTAGATATTATTTTGAATATCAGCATAAATGTCATTTTTAATATACAGTTGAGTATAGATCAATCACTTTGTATTTGGCCATACTTTGGGTGATGAACATTTGATTGTAGCTTTTTATTTGTTTTTCCACTATAGAAAATGCTGTAATGAACAGCCTTGTGATTATAACATAAAATACTATTGCTTTTTATTTCTAAAATAAATATATAAGATTCTGTCCAATGCTAATGATGAGATGTTGGTTCAATGTTTTACAAATATCCATAATAATTTGAGATCAAAAGGAAAACATTGAGAAAAGGTTCTATGCATTGTGATTTTTTGCCGAGTAATATTTTGTTTTTTTATTATCAAAGAAAGGATACTAATGTTTGCTGACATATCATTTTCATTGTGTGATGATAAAATTGCAAAACTGATAATAGGTGGGTAGCATCACATATTTGATATCATAGATACAACAAGAAGTGTTCTAAAACATTACCTTGTTTTCTATAGAAAGCTTACAGTATTCCTGATGTCACTGGATAGGGCCGTTGTCCCTTATTGCCACAAAGTACATTTTGTCATCATCATTGTACTGGTGAATAGTTTAGAAATAATGCTGCCAATTTATGTGACAATCTTTTAGTATTTGTACACTCTCAAATTCTTCCCAGAGCTAGAAACTTTAATTTTCTTTTGATTATTTATTTTCACTTCATATCTAATTAATGGCTTGCTCTACCAAAAGCTTTCAGCTAAGAAATTGGAGTAGATTTGTATTAATTCTTAAACGGAAATACTTGCAAAGCAGTAACGACTCAATTGCATAAACTCAACCTCTGATTATTTATAAAATTCCCCAATGTGGATTTCCTACATACTCTGCAAAAGTTTCTTCAATTCATATTCCATGACTTCTTTATGAAGAGAGCAAGATATACTCTTTCTTGAAGGGGTTTCCTCAAAGACTTCAAATTTTCAACATATATCAAGAAGTCTTCTGGCTTTAAGATGACGGAGAGAGATGGCTTAAAAAAGAATTCTCTCTTTCAACATCTTAACAAAGTTCTCAAGTTGTTCAACCCTTAATTTAACACCATAGTTTTGAGACTAAATTATAATTTTTAACAAGGTTCACTTTTAAGTTAGGGATCACATTTTAATATTCAGATAATTTAATAACAGCTACCAAATATGATTGTTCTCAGAGTAGACAGTTCTGGACCTAAGCACATGGAATACAATTATTGAGGCCCAGGGCAGGCCTCCTGAAAGTATCCCACAATGGAATATGGATTGCTATGAAGTAAAGGTACTTGTGAAGCAGTCCACGAAAAACGAAGAGACATTTGGACCCTCCTCTCTCTCTTCCTCCTGAAATCAGGAAATAATTCCCGCATGTGAAAGGTGCTTTCTCTACATTTTTTATCACTGAAGTGGGAAAATCAGGGCTGAGAAGGCTATATAAACAAACATTGTTACTTCTTTGGTAATTTATCACCCCAAACCCAAACTCTGCTAAATCCCTCACTAATTAAGCACTCAAAGCAAAGCTTCTTTGTCCCGTCAAATCCTCACAAATTCATTGTTACTTTGTGCAAAAAAATGTATAAACTGCCTGCTGTGTTCCCTCTCTGAGCATCATCTTTTATGCTCTCCAGTGCACACGTATCAATTTTTTGTTTCCCCATTGATCTGGCCTTGTGTCAATTTTATAATTAGTCCAGCCATAAGAATTCAAGAGGGGGAGGGGGTAAAATTTCCTCTTCCCAAGACAAACAAGGTCCCCATGTGTGGCTTTACATCTGCTTCTCAACAGTAAAGGAAAGATCTAGAATAGTTAAACCATCTAGAAAAAGAATAAAGTAAGGGAATTTATAATACTGTTTTCAAGATTATCTACAAATCTATAGTAATCAAGATAGTGCAATATTTTATAAAGATACTAAATAGATCAATGGAAAAGAATGAAGAGTCTATTATGATGTACACCCGAAAGCTATATAATCCAATGTCACTGCAATTAAAAATAAATAAATAAATAAAATTGAAAAAACAAAAAACAAAAAAACAACCAGAGCACAAATGAAACATAAATAAATAAATGAATTCTTTTTGAAAAATTTTCAAAGATCTATTAATTATTTAGTACACTTCTGGTTAATAAATTATACATATGGACAGTACACTTTCAGATATTGATTTAGAGACCTCAACGATGTAGAAATATTATGAATTATCAAGAGGTTTTCTAAATTCTAATGTATTAAGTTTATATAAATGAGACCATTATTATTAACTAAATATAAATTGAAAAATGTAATAGAAGTTACCAAAAATGAAATATTGTATGTATTGTTAAATTTCAGTGGATTTTTAAGCAAACATTTTTCTTTTTATGAGAGTGATACATGATCAATTCAGAGAATTTGAAAAAATACAAAATACAGAAATAAAAAATCTTACCTATAATCCCAAAAATAAAAAAAAAGAATGAAGAGTCTAAAACTTGTGCACGTGTATATGTTCAATAGATTATCAGCTAAGAAGCCAAAATAATTCAATGGGATCCAAGATATATATAAATATTCTCTACAAATCAATAAGGAAAATACAACTTATTAAAACTGGGGGAAAACATCTGGAAAGACATTTCAAGGAAGAAAATATGAATGGTCAATAAACACATCCAAAAAAGCCTAACGGTATTAGTCACCAGGAAAATGAAATTACAATAACAATGAGATTTTACCTCCCACCCACTAGTCTTGGTAAAATTAAAAATACTAAATTACCAAATACAAAGTATCATCTCAGCTCCTGCTTTCAGCTCCTGAAATTATCACACATTGCTGGTGGGAGAGCACAATGGTACTTCACTTTGGAAAACAGTTTGACAGTTTTAAGTAAAGTTAAACAAGTTACCACCATACATCCCAGGAATTCCCCTCATGATGCTAAGTCAAGATGAATGAGAACATGGCCAGAAAAATGTGTATATTACTGTTACTGATAGCTTTATTTATAATGGTACAAAATGGAGATATTCAGCTATTCATCAACAGGTAAAAAGATGAGCGGTGATACATAAATAAAATACTGCCAGCAATGAAATGGAATGAACTGCACATGCATGCAATAGTGTGGGTGAATTTCAATAGCATTAAGTGGAGGAAAAGAAACCAGACGCAAACATAGTATATCATTTCGTTTATATGAAATTTGAAAACAAGGAAAATAAACCAATGGTGATAGAAATCGTAGTATTTGTGTTCTGAGATATACTGTTGGGTAATTCACTACAAAGAGACATTGAAGAACATTTTGAGGTATTGCAAATGCTATCTTATTGGAAGCAGTAGTAGCAAAGGTGACATCATTTTTCAAATGTTATCCATGCACTCTTGGCATTTTATTGTACCTAAAATATACCTTAATAATTTTTTTTTTAAAGAAACCAATGCAATATGACCTTTTAAATATTATTCTTAATTTGTTTCTCAGAAGCTTTTGAATTTCTATGTAATGCATATGGACAAAGTTTCATAAGATATATAAAATTATACTAAAATATGTCTATAATTTACTTGATAAACTTACAAACTATGTATTTGGTTTCCAGCATTACACCATACTAATAATAATCTTATGAATATTTTTGCGTATTTTAATAATTTGTGTTGCTTCTGCAGAACAGATTTCTAGGAGAAAGTTTTCCATCCAATTTAGATATGCGTGTTTTCAACTATTTTTGGACCTAAGATAAGAGATTTAGAATAATTATGTTCCTCAGTTCATGACACTTTATCATTATTGAGTGAGGCAAAGCCCATCTCTTTTCTTAAGTTATTTTTTATTTCAATTTGTTATAGGCTGTCTTGTGTCCCATCAAAATTCATGTGTTGAAACTCTAATCAGCAGTATTTCAGAATGTGACCATATTTTGAGACAGGGCCTTTAAAAAGGTAGTTCATTAAAATGGGCTCATTAGGTGTGCTCTAATCCAATCTGATTGATGTTTTATATGGAGAGGAGATTAGGACACAGAGAGAGACACTAGACACATACACCAACCCGGCAATGACCATATGAAGACATAGCAAGAAGGTGACCATCTGCAAGCCAAGCAGAGGCCTCAGAAGAAATCAGACCTGCCAACCCTTTGATCTTGCTCTTCTAGGCTCCAGAGTTGAGAGAATATATTTCTGTGGTTTAAGCCAGTCTAGGGTATTTTGCTATGGCAACACTAGTAACTAATACATCCTTCATCTTTATTTCTATAACTAGTTCCCTCTACCACCATCAGGTATCCATCCCAATATATTTAATGTGAATCTGCTAATGTTCTTATGTTCTTACAAAATATATATTACTCTTTCATGTGCATGCATTTATACTT